CTCCTAAGGGCTGGCTCCGCCTCGCCCAACGTCTAAGGGCAGACTCCGTCTCGCCCAATGTCCGAGGGCTGGCTCCGCCTCGCCTGACGTCTGAGGGCTGGCTCCGCCTCGCCTAACGTCCATGGGCTGGCTCCACCTCGCCCGATGTCCGAGGACTAGCTCCGCCTCACCCGACGTCTGAGGGCAGACACCGCATCGCCCGACATCCGGGGGCTGGCTCCACCTCGCCCGACGTCTGAGGGCAGACTCCGCCTTGCCCGACGTCTGAGGGCAGACTCCGTCTCGCCCGATCCTCGAGGGCTGGCTTCGCCTCGCCCGACATCCGAGGGCTTGCTCCGCCTCGCCCGACATCCGGGGGCTGGCTCCGCCCCGCCCGACATCTGCGCGCTGCTCCTTCATAACTACGCGCGCATATAAGGCATGGCACTCAAGTCAACCGCAATACCGAGGACCATACCCTGCACGTCTACAGGAAAGTACCATCAGGATATGACAAGACGGGCGCTTTAAGCCCTTCTAGGCATGTTAGGGCTCGAATAGTGTTGTAGGCACCGACATTTGTCTTACAGTGTTGTGGGCGCCGCCATTTGCCCTCGGGCACGGATCCTGATGGAAGCGTACAATAGCCACTATGGTCCAGGAGGAAACTCACATAATCTACAATAGAGGACGTGCGGTCACTGCGCCGTCTGCTCCCCGTAGGGCCGTAGATCAGCACCTTGGTCCATCACGTCGTCCACCGGGGCGGGATGGGACATGACCACTTGCTGACAAAGCCCGAGCATGGCATCATCAGCGGATAGACTCCCGGCGCAGCCCTATCAGGATCAACGGACATGCACCCAGCATGGAGCTATCCCTGGCACTGTTTGTTGTGTCAGCGGGGCTCGCTCAGAGGAAAAGGAAGACCTGGCATCTTTGAACGACCTCCTTGGCCTCTGGTTTTTCTTCTTTTCTCCCATCTGTAATCCCTGCTTCCCCTTGGTCTATAAAAGAGAAGGCAGGGCACCCCACTAAGGAGACCGATCAATTCAACACGCCACGCATCACATCACACATAGCTGAGCAGCAACCAACCTCTCGGCATCCATTCGACCTTTCCATCAGAGACTTGGGACCTGTCCCTCTCTCGCCCGTTTGTAACCCCTACTATGAACTTTTCAGTGCTAATAACACAAACAGCAACCACGAACTGAACGTAGGGACATTCTGCCCGAACCAGTATAAACCTTGTGTCTTTTAAGTATACCATCCGGGTCAGATGCGCAATAACACAAATTTACTCGTTAGTGTTTACTCGAAACACCGACAGTAATTAATCTTAGAAAAAATAAGTATTAATGTTCTATATTTACCTTCCGGTATTGTTTTGGGGTCAGCCTCATGGTTCTTGCCTCACTTTTAGGGAGCCTCACTCTAAGGCCCTGTTTGTTTCCGCGACACCGTATCGCGCGTTCGTGTTTGAGCGAACGCGGCTCGGAGGCTACGTTTTGCGAATCGCGTGTCGTAGTTAAGTTTCACACGTTCCATGCCGCGGGCGATTCCCGGTCGCGCGTTGGTCGCGGGGCATTCAGCGGGATTATCTCGCTTTCCTCGCTCACTCGCAACGTGAACGCGGGAATACGCGAAAACAAACAGGGCCTAAGAATTTTTGCGTGGTATTGGATCACGGCCTAGATGCGCGCCTCGTAGTGCATGTCCTTGACGAGTTTTTTGGTGGCTTTGTCAGCCACAGCATCCCTCCTCGTATCTAAAGAAATCCTGCATATAGACACGATGTATCCGGTCATTATTTCAAGAATGTCCAATCAATGCGATGTGTTGAGCAATATAGTGCGAGAAAGATTTACCCAAAGCTCGGCCTTGACACGCTGCGCCTTGTCGGCGAATACCCTACCATCCCGATCAGGGGTGTCGGGGATGGCGGCATAGTGGGCCCACGTGTAGGCCGGCTCGATAGTTCCACCGAACTACACCAGGCCAGGGAACTTTTCCTTGATCAAAAGACCAAGGATGTCGTTCACATGGCGTGTGTGCTCACCCCCACCGACCTTCCTCCAACCCCTGCCCAAGTGATTAAGATAAATTATTGGTTTCTATTGTAATTTTGAACATATCAAACGAAAAATTAGTGATAACATCTAAAGTTACTTACTTGTCTCCATCGGGTCGAATCAGCGGGCGTCTCTCAAGAGCTATTGGTCGCCTCAGGAGGGTCGAGGGACCTCGCAACCACACACGCGATGAAGTAGAGGAAGAGGTACCCCCTATCTCCTCCACCCCTGCCTCCTCCACCTATACCTCCTCCTCCTCAGAGGATGAGTGAGCTGAAGGTAACTCAGACGTCGACGAAGGTACAGGCGACGGTGGCCTCATCTTGCCTCCACCCTTCCCTCGACCCTTGGGTCTACCCCGAGGTTTCTTCCCAGACCCCTCAGGTGCATCGGACGCTTTACGCGTCGCTGTCGCTTTTGAGTAAAGCGACGTTATCCTCTTCATACCACCCACCATTGTTTGATCATCTGCAATTAAAAAGAGTAAACCAATTAACACATATAATACATCAAAATAGATGCAAAATAAACAAAACATACTTAGAAAATAACATGGTATGACAAATAATAAATCAATTAGCACGGATCATACATGTATTAGAAATAATCATCATGATCGGGATTAGCTGAATCATAAGTCTCATCATCACTATCACGCATGTCGATATAATCATCCCCATGCTCCGAATGAGGAATGTCGTCATCACCGTCATTGCTTAGATGTAATCGTTGAAGTAATTCTAAGTCCTTAATGTTCTGAACCTCATCTCTAACGTCCTCGTCAGCACCACTTTCATTGTCTACTTTCATACCCTGAGCTTCGGTTAAGTCTATCTCAAAACTGCATTCGAGCCCATCTTCTTGAAAGAACTCACCGTCATATGTGTTGGGGTCAATGTTGTAATCTTGATTGTTTGGGACAGATAGTTTACCGTGTGGCAATATCTTGTACACAACATGAATATCATTTTTCTACTCATTTTTTTCTATTATTTGAATCACTTGCGGTTTAAATTTGACTTATACAAAAAAAATTCCTTAAAATGCAATAAATTAATTAAATATAGCAAACAGATTCAGAAATATACCAAATCTTAACATGGAGTACCACATGTTGTATGTGGAGAGTAAAAAAAGTTTCAAGGTCAGAAGAGAAAACAAACTTATTATTTCTTACCATTATAGCTCAAATTCAATTTATATTAATTAAAATTGTATGACGGTGAGACGACGATGCAACCCATCGAAATGTCCGAGTAGTCATTCTCTATCTCTTTGGCTGCTGTGGCGGGCGTGCTCAACAATCCAGCTGTATCTTTTACTTATTTATTAGTATATGTATGTATGCAGGGAATCTTTGCATGCTCTTGGCTTTGGTGAGATGGAAATGTGGATATCAGATTTATGCCATTACTAGTAATGAATTTATTAGAGCAGCTTTGACAGTTGGGTAAACCCATGATCAATATAATCTTGTTTTTTTTTACATGATGGAGGAAACAAAAAAACTACTTACCCTAACTCCGAATCCATCTGCGATCGGAAAAACCGAGGATGGCTGACCATAGCAGCGAGTTGTGTAGTGTCGGCTCTGCATCTAAATCGACAACGGCACGTGTGTTTTTAGAAACCAATAAATTAAAGAAGAAACTATCATTGGAGTACGCAAAAGGTTTGTTATTTTAAACTACTATTGTTTGGACTTTTCAAGAAAAGACTAGGTTTTTATCACTTAGGCCTTGTTTAGTTCCACCCAATTTTTAGAAGTTGTTGGAGTCGCTCTACACATTTGAATGTTTGCGGATCATCATATTTTGATGGATTAAATTAAACAAAAAGAGAAGGAACTAATTGTCCACGTCGGCAGTGGGCAAGGCAGGCAGGCAACGCAGCAGATCCTAATTAGTCCATGTTTGAACACTATTTACCAAATAAAAACGAACATGTTATAATAGCCCCAAAATCCAAATTCCTACAACTAAACAAGGGCTTAAATAAATTTTTAGACGTCGTTGGAGTCGCTCTACCAATTTGGTTGGCAGCGGATCATCATATTTTGATGGATGGAAATTAAAAGAGAGAGAGAAGGAAGCATCCATGGTCCACGTCGGCAGGCAGGCAGCAGAGGATAAGCCAGGTCCAGTTTAGTTTGCAAAAAAATTTGCAAAATTTTTTACATTCTCTGTCACCTCGAATCTTTAGACGCATGCATGAAGCATTAAATATAAATAAAAAATAAAACTAATTACATAGTTTAGACAAAATCCACGAGACGAATCTTTTAAACCTAATTAGATTATGATTAGATACTATTTACCAAATAACAATAAAAACGCTATAGTACTCATTTTGCAAAATTTTTTGCATCTAAACAAGCCCTCCACTGGAGGTGACGAAGCAACTCACGACATCACATCAGCACCACATTGAAGCGGATGACCCCTAGCCTGCCTAGCCTAGCGAGGTGGTCGGTAACACCGAGGTCCAGTGGCGGCGATGCATCTGAGGAAGGACCTCAATAATCTACTGCTGCTGCTACTCCGGCCAACTGATCGTTGGTATGGTTAGAGAGAGAGAGAGAGAGAGAGGCGGGCGCCTTCCAGCACTGACCGCCCCACTTCCTTCCGAATTCCCGATTCCAACCACGTGGCACGGCGGTGCCGCGTCGTCTCTATCTCGCCCGCCACCACCTTCCTTTACAGGCTTCCACGCCACACGTACTCCTCTCCTACAGACGAGACGAGACGACGACGACGAGCCTAGCTAGGATGAGCTGTATATAAATTCCACACGCTCTCATCCTCTCTCTCTCTCTCTGTCTCGGTCTCCTTCATTCCACTTCCATGAAAGCAGCCAAGGATCCCCTCCCCTCCCTTCTGCTAGCTACTCACTTCCTTCTTGGTTCTTCCAATCCAAGAAACTAAAACCAAGCAGCGAGCAAGCAAAATGGAGGTGCCGCAGGACCACGAGGCGGCGCTGAGGACCGCGGCGCAGAACAAGCCGCCCGCCAACGCCCGGCCATGGCGCGGAGGCGCCGGAGCGCCTTCATCCGCGGCTCCCCCGCCGCCGCCGCCCAAGGTGTACCGCGTGGAGCCCCGGGAGTTCCGGGACCTGGTGCAGAGGCTCACCGGCGCGCCGCCCACGGCGCTGCGGCGCCCGCAGCAGCACCAGCACCACCACCGCGTGGTGGGCGTCGCGGCGCCGGTGGTGCAGCCGCAGCCCGTGCGCCCCGGCGGCGAGCAGCAGGCGTACGGCGCGGCGGCGCCGTGGTTCTCGCTCCCGATGGCCGGCGGGTTGGAGGCGGCGACGGCGGCGCAGCCCCAGCACGGCGCTTTCCTCTAGCTGCCTGCCTGCGCTACTGCTACTTCTTACGGAGTACTCTACTACTCATGGCGCATCGATCATCAGGAAGACGAGGAACAAAGCATCATCCTTTGTTTTTTTTCCTTCTTCCAAATATCCTTTTTTTTCTTTTCTTTTGTAGTATAAAAAAACAGAAAAAGAAGGAAAGGAGGAGGCGGCGGCTCCTGAAAGCAGCAGACGGGAGCTAGCTTTCGCCTTTTTACCGTCTCTGTATGTACGTACGTCGTTGGTGACTGGATCATATCATATGTATCGCATCGCAGGTCAAGTAGTAGACATGCATGTTGTGTTCATTACAACAGTTAATTAGCGCTAGTGACAGCAGATAGATACTAGACAGATGCTGTACTGTACGTAGATATTTAGTACAGTACTAGTAATAAACAGTGCTGGTAATTATTGGTTGTCTTGTGTTGCTGTTTTAGCACTCCGATCCCTCCGTTCGATTCAAATACCTAAGTACTCCCTCTCTTCGTCCACGGAAGAATACAGTTCTCGTTTTTCAAGAAGTCAATTGATTTGAACTTTGATAAAAATTATATAAAAGATACTAACATTTATGATGCAAAATTAGTATATTAGTCATAGAGTATATTTTCATAATAAATTTATTCAGAGACATAAATATTAATACTATTTACTATAAATTTAGTTAAATTTAATAAATTTAGTTAAATTTAAGCTACTTTGATCGATACGAATCCTATAAATACATTTTTTTTTGGGCGGAGGGAGCAGTACATAAGATATTGGTCTGCTCTGTTCCTTCCATCCTGTGTCTTGTAGGTTTCTGGATCCCATGAACGAATCGATCGGAGGGAGCTTATCTAATTCTCACACTCAATACGATACACGTGTAATAACTCATCGATGAGCATCTCAGTCGTCGTGTACAACTCCTGTGCGCGCGCGTGCGGTAGGGGTCCGGCGTCGGCGTCGGCGTCGCGTCATGGCTGACTGCAGCAGCAGCGCCTTGGATGCCATGCAATTGCATTTGCAATTCACGCGATGGCTGGTCAAACAAGCTGAAGCTGAAGATGTAGCTGTAGCTGTTGGATAGCAGTATAGACTGTGGTCTTGTTTAGTTTCTCTTTAAAATTTACTTTCTATCGCATCGGATATATGATACATATATAAAATATTAAATATAGACTAAAAAAAATAACTAATTACACAGATTACGACTAATTTGCGAGACGAATTTTTAAACCTAATTAGTCCATGATTTGGCAATGCGGTGCTACAGTAAACATGTGCTAATGATGGATTAATTAGGCTTAATAAATTTGTCTCGTGGATTACCGAGGACTTCTATAATTTATTTTATTATTACTATCCGAACACTTACGGATTACTGATGACTTCTATAATTTATTTTATTATTAATTTCCGAACACTCCACGTGACGTCTCTAAATTTTACTCATATTCCTAGTAGTGCCAACAGGGAACGGAATGGAATGGAACGGAACGGAACGGACGACGATTATTCAATTCAAAGGCGTTGACAGACCAACCCATCACTCACGCCGCCTTTCCGCCGGTCAGAGATGATCGAGTTCCTCCCTGACCGACCACGCGCATCGCCTCGGACGGGGTCGGACATGCAAATTAAGCAAAACAAACTTAATTTGGTCCTTGCATTGGCCTGCATGCATTCAGCTACCGTACAGTACCTACGCGCGTCGCCCGTAAAACAAAAATGCGGAGTGCTTTTTCATATGGTCCATGCACAGATGTGTATTTATTTACTTACTGTATAATATATGCATGAAAAATATTATTATGAAAAACAATATAAGTACGAAAATTCTTAGCAAAAATGGAGATGCGGGGGATAGAACCCCGTGCAAAGCGAGCATTTGAGCTACATCCCCACATGGCTTAACGTTTTATTTCTATGGGCCCTATAATAATGAACCAGCAGACAAAAGCTGCGGCACTTGTCACGGACGAACCACATGCCAGGCTTCACTCATCCATTACGTGTGCTTGGTACATCCATTACGCCCTCCAATCCACTCTCGTCTCAAGTTCCCAAAGCATGAGCACGATCTGCTCTCGCGGACGCTCCCTGCTACTGATGGAGCGCCTCCCCCACCGCCCACGCACCCTGATCCGATGATGGACTTCTACAAGGACACGTGCACCGGTGATATCTGCTCTGCCCCTTTGGCGACCATGACCCGATGATAGAGGAGGCATTAATTGGCAGCGTGTGCGGAGGCAGTGAACAAACCTCTGTCCTTCTCCCGCCCGGGGATATGATCCCCTTGGAGGAGGAGTTACACTCTCCAGTGTACACTCTGAATGCCACGAACTGGGGCAAGCTCGCTGAACTCAATGAGGAGGCCGCTGCCCTGGGTTACAGCAATGTGATCCAGCAGGAGGTTGATGGCCAAGTGATCACAACTGGCAATCTGGCATCATTGAGCAGGTAGCGGACATGATATATACTGGAGGAGCGCAGGAACACCATAGTGGACAGCCTCTTCGTGCCCTGCGAGCAGCCTATCCTGGAGACGCCGGCTGTCCAGAAGCAGCAAGGAAAGGCTATTGGAAGAGCCAAGGCCAGGAAGAGCGCAGTTGGGGGGCTCACCCGGTAGAAGACAAAGATCTGCTTAGTGCCCGTCTCCAAGCGGGCGTCTCATCGTTTGATCAGGCATTCGAGGTAGTTGGCCCAAATGAGCCGATCAGGGAAGACGCGCTGGAGGCATTTGCCAAAAACATTTGGCACGCCACTTCCCTGGACAGTGGAGCAGTGATGGCAGCGACGGCACAGCTGGTGGCAGCAGACGCCATGGGCGATGTGGGCGTGTGAGGCAGACATGTCATTATATTGTCACCGGCCACTGCAAGGACAGACTATGCTATGTTAGTCAGCTATTGTTCAGTTGTGTTAGTGAGGTGTTGGTTTGTGCTAGCAAGAGAGAAGTCCAGTGTTGTAAGGAGCCATGCCTGCATGGAAGTAGTCCAGGTCTTAGATCCTAATCAGGAGTCGGTTCAGGTCTACGGTAGTTGTAAAACGCTAGCTAGTGGTAGTGGGTGCAAGTTGTCTGACACTTGGGGTCAGTCTAAATTGGTGTGGCTTTTGCCTGCCAAGTGTACCTGTGTTCTGAGGTTAATCCTAGCAGTCCAGGTGTGTGTTAGTGGATAACAACGACCTCTCTCCATTTTAAATTAGAACGTAAGAGGGCTTAATGATGCAGCGCACAGAGAGCTGGTCAGAGAGACTGTCATCTGCTCAAGGCCAAACATCGTGTGCCTACAAGAAACCAAACTGAGCAACATCAATGCTAGCCTTGCAGTTGAGACTCTCGGTCATTATCTTGACTCCTAGCTGGAGTTGGGCGCCTAGGGGACAGGAGGTATCTTGCTCGCCTGGAACAAAGACATGATCTCAGTATCAAATGCAGCGAATAGAACTTTCACCATATCGGCATTGGTCAAAGGTGGCATCCTCTAATACTCCTTTCTTAATGACAATGTGCCACGGCCCAGCGGATGACAGAAGGAAGGATGAGTTCCTAGCTGAATTACATGCCATTAAGCCTCCCACTGCTGTACCGTGGATGATTTTTGGGGATTTCAACCTCATCTACTACCAAGCAAGTGACAAAAACAACTTGAATATGAATAGAAGATTAATGGGGAAGTTTAGGAGAGCTTTGGACGAGCGTGAACTCATGGAGATAACGCTGCAGAATAGGAGATACACATGGTCAAATGAAAGGGAAAATCCAACCTTGGTGCGTGTGGACAGAGTTTTTTGCAACTTAGAATGGGAAGTGGCATTCCCAAACTTTGCTCTAAGCGCGTTGGCGACCAGTGCATCGGACCACTGTCCCCTAATCCTCACCCACCAACAGCCTGTTCGGTAGCCTGAGGCTTGCTCGTATACGATCGTAAATTTTTAGCCAAAATAATATTTTTCTCTCACACCAAATCAGCCAAACCAGTCAGCAGTAAATAATACACGATCGTTTATGGCCTGCTGAACAGGCTGCAAAACCATGCTGCAAGAAAGGCGATGTTCAAATTTGAAAATCACTGGCTGAAAATTGATGGCTTCAGTGAGGTGGGGCAGGCAGCCTGGAGTAAACCGCAGCTGGGATCGGCGCACAGCGTACTGAGCAAGAAGCTAGCAGAGACGGCGCGCGCCCTGCGTAGCTGGAGCAAACCTCTATTTAGGACATGGTTGGCGTGGCTTCTCTCCAAGAAGCTAGCAGAGACGGCGCCGCCCTCGTAGCTTGAGCAAACTCTTCTATTTAAACGTTTTTTCAAAAAATTTTATGCCATTTTCACATCAATCTTGCGGCACATAGAGGTACTAAATGTAGAAAAAAAACTAATTTTATAGAAATCGCGAAGCCTTTTGAATTATAGTCCATAATTAGAACTAATTACCAAATCCAAACTTCTGCTAATGAGCCCCTCAGGAGAAGCCGTGCCAAACATGTCCTTAGCAATGCACGACTTCAAATGACGTCATTCTAAGACTCGACATCGCACAAGAAAGTCGACAGCTAACAGGCGAGGAGACGAACTTGAGACGGGATCTCAAAAGTCAGGATGCTAGGTGCTAGGTCTGGCAGCTTTGGAAAGAAGTAAAAGAAGACAGGCATCCAGAATAAACTACATAAAGTTGGGGATGCATGTACAAGATTCTCCACCTCCACCTAAAGATGTCTGCGATTTAGAAAAGTGTTCAAACAGTACATCCCTATGCTTAAAAATCGAGATGGTGCCTTGGTCCGGAACCATGATGACAAACAGCAAATATTACAGATTACTTCGAGAATTTGATGGGAAAGAAAGTGCGCAGGATTAGGAACTTCCAGTGGCCAAACATTCACCTTAACACACTACAGCAGCTGCCTGGTCTCGAATTAGACAGACCATTCACAGAGAGCGAGATCGAGCAAGCGGTGAAAAGCCTACCGAATGAAAAGGAGCCTGGCCCGGACGGTTTCACCAATG